CGGATTTATTTCGCCTTTGGGGGAGTTTCGGTTTCGCCTTTCGGATTTTGAAAATGGGTTTCGCCCGAAACACTAGTCCTTGCCTCGCCGGTTCCAGATCTTCAATAAAGAGCATATACTAGCAAAGCAAGCACCTAGACTTTCCTCGAAAGGCGATGACTGCCCTTATTCTTCAGCTCCCATCTTTATATCGTACCATAAAAATACCTCATATTTAAAAATTCTCTCATTCTCTCTAACCATATACTTTATCTGGATCGTAGAAAATCTCAATTCTTTCGTCGTCCCGGTTGTCTCGATTATCGTTGTTAGTGTCGAGGGTAAAGTACTTTCTTTATTTATTATCTCATTGGTGGAATTTTTAAGTTCCGCTTTTTTCGCATATCGTACTAACTTCTTGCGCAGGTTTCGTTTGTACGCCTTCGATGGGGTTGGTCCGTTTTGTTTACTAGTAGACGCGTCCATGTTTAATTCTCTTTACACAGCCCACGATATAACTAATAACTAATGGAGAAAAAAGGTCTTGATATATTACTATTTTTTGGAGAAATCAAAAGCAACACTACTCGATGAGCAGTTAAGATTTTATTTCTAGAGCCGATGTCCTACTCAAGACGAATAGCGCACACTTTCGCGAAAAAAAAGTGGAATGTCGATAATCATATATATACACAACAATCAACCAATCAAGATTGATAGTCGTTCTATTTCTGGGATAATCATTGCATGACCTATTTCGTGTATGAAATCTATACCGATACCGGGTATGTATGATCTATATCGAGCATGTGTGATCTATTTCGGGTGTACTACAAACATCGTGCAGGCGTATGATTTAATCATATATATCACACAAAATTATATGATAATTCAACCACCAGGGTCAGCTTTATTGATATAGGAGAAATAAATACAAGATAAAAATAGGATACTCTAGTAAATTTATCCGAATCTCCTAATAACTTCTTGGTGGAGAATATGTAGTCGACATCATTGATGATGACGGGGTCCGATCTTCGATTACTGGCAAAAGATTAATTTCATCTTTCACACCCACCGCTATTGCGATAGTTTTTTCAACCACGGATCTCAATTTAAGAGCATTCTTTAAAAATTCTTCAATGATCTGGCGGGAGGAAATACGTAATGGTATAACCAACTCACAGATCCGAAAAATCCGATAAAAATCATCTTCAAATAAGTTTAACGCGGAAACAGTCACACGATCTCGTATTACTTGGATACCTAAAACGGAAACTTTCCCTAGCTCGATATTTAACGATCTAGCCGTATCGGTGGTATCGTCCCTCCTATCAAAGAAAAAATTATATCGCTCATCAAAACAATCTTTGCAAATACGTACCAATTTCTTCCAGTCTATAATTTCTTTGTCTTGTTGAGGGAGTAATCGTGAAACTTCGGCAAGTACGAGTTCACTTTCCACCATATCAAGCTTTAGTAAAACC